ACTACCTTATCATATTTTCATTATTACTTGCGGATATATATAACTAATAAATATCTCAATACATTGATTCAACTTTTTAATTATTTCAGCTGAGCGAAATGGAATTCCAATTGGACCTCAGGTAAAAATTTTAATTTACGAATTTCAGCACTTCACACAATCTTCGATCTACTGATACATATCATTTAATTCTTAATAAATGTCTATACAGGCTGGTTCAGAGTGGTTGTACATTGTCCCTATTGGAATATACGATCTTTTGACTTATGCAAAACGAAAATATAACGATCCCGCCATTTACATCACTGAGAACGGTATAGCTATAATCGATTTTTTTTTTCAATCATTGAAATTCAGAAAAATAGAATTTAATTTGATATACATTGTTTTGCAATATTAATTAATGCAGGGGCCAGTGAAAAGAACGTAAAGAATCTGCCAGTTCACCTCCTTTTGAATGACGACTACAGAATTAAGTACCATCAGCAACATCTTGCATATATAAAGCTTGCTATAGAGTAAGTATAAAGGCACATTTTTTATTTAAAAAAAAATGTTTTTTTTAAACTAATTTTTAAATGTATATGAATTTACAGCACAGCGAAGGTCAACGTGAAGGGATATGTGGTGTGGTCCATATTGGACAACTACGAATGGGCCGCGGGCTACACAGTACGATTTGGAATGTACTTTGTGGACTACTTAAATGGGCTTAATAGGTATCCCAAGAAGTCCGCCATTTGGTACATGAACTTCCTCAACAAAAAGAAGCTTCCGGGACCTAAAGATAGGGAGGTCGAGGAAATCAGTGAAAATGAGACGCAAGGAAAAAAGAAGCGCAAGTATTAGAAGATTTGACGGCGTTATTATCAACATCACGGGCCATGTCATGGCCTTAACGAGCTATTTGTGTTGCGAATAAGGCATCTATCGATTGCCACTCTTTGTATTTGTTGCTTAGTATAACATTGTGTGTTTCAGTGTTTGAATTAATTTGTATTCGGATGATTGAGAGTGTGAGATGCATGTCACGGCATTGAATGTGTATCAATTTTTCAGCCCAGAGGCTTTGTTGAATGAGTTTCTACTTGTTTGCATAATTGGATATGCTCTCAATTACTATATATATATGTAAGGATTATTTATCTAATTAAGTTTAGTTTAACGGTTACTGTTTGATATAGAAGGATAGTTAGTACAAGTATACACTAGTAGATAATTAAGTAAATGTCAGCCATATAGTACAACGAATTTTCTGAACAAATTGGTCATTATGGATAACTGAGATTGTAAGACCCTTTTAAGTAACTTAGAACAGAAGAGAAACATCCTAATGATCAGTTCGAGGTTGAGTAACAAATTGACTCAGTTGCTGTATTGAGTAGGTAATATCAGGTCTGGTCAAGTTAATACATAAGAGCTTGCCCATCAATCTTCTGTATCAATCAGGATTTTCAGAGAGTTCACTTTGACAAGTGAGAGAGATCCCTGGAGGAAGAGGGGTGACAACAAACTTACAAGACTCAAGGTGAACTGAAGTAAGTAATAATTCTAAGACATATTTCTTTTGACTTAAGAAAATGCCTTCAGTACCTCGAGTGATTTCCATACCAAAGAAGTACTTGGCAGGACTAAGGTCCATAATGGTGAAAAGATCATTACAATATGTCTTAAATTATTAAAACCATAGCTCTTGTACTCATAGTGCAGGGCCTCATTAGTGTAAGAGGTTCACTGTTTTGTAGTATTTTGAGGGTAGTTGGTAACCGAGCTACCCGACCTCGAATCGTTCTCAAAGGAAAACGGTTCGGAGCTTTGTTCACCACTCAATTGTCCAAATCACACAAAATGAGAAAATAAAAGCTAAACATGTTAATCAATGGGTTGGAGAGTGAATTAATGCTAATCAATGCTCGGAATTGATAACAACAAACAAACTAGAGAATTAAGCAATTAACACTACCGGAATCTCTAAGCCATCAACGTCAAACGAATCAACAACGAGAAGTATGCAAGTTCTAACACTAGATCACTAATCCCAACCTTCTAACCTAAGTGATTATGCTCTAAATAGAGTCCTAATCCTTAATCTAGATAGACAAGCAATTAGTCTCTACTAAAACAAGCATGAGCAATGATCAAGTCCAAACATATCATCCATCATCAAGCAAACACTCAAATTCACCTTAAAAAATTCCATAAGTAAAAACGAGGCAAAAATCGAAGTAATGAGCTTTAAATGTAAATACCTAATCTTCTATTGCGTGCTAGACGAAAATCGGAGTCAAAAGCTCGGAACTTGAACAAAATAAAACTCGCCGGAAAACTTGCCGGAAAATGATGTCATAGAGCTCCCAAGAGAGAGAAGAGAGAAAACTAAAAAGAAAATAGCTATTCCCAAAGTGGGAAAGTGAAAAATGAAATCTAGATGGCCAAAATACAAAGGGCCAAAATATATATATATAGTCTAGCTCAAAACACGCACTAGAAACCCGCACATTAAATGACAGTACTCTCGAGGTCGCGGCTTGTTCGAGGGAATGGGTGCTAGGAAACTTAGGACCGACATGGCTCGAAATTCTCGGAATGGAAAGAGGCTCGCACGACTTGGCTCGAAACCTCTCGGGATTCTTTCGAAAATGCTCGTCTCTCGGAATTTGGTTCGACTCTTCTCATCATCGGAAGTAAACTGAAAGTACACCCAAGAGCACAGAAAGTACGCCAATAATACGAAATAAAGAGAAAGACAAAGATGTTGATACACAAAATACGATAAAATGGACCAGTCGACACTAAAACGAACCTAAAAAGACTAAACTAGAGCACATAAAACTCATGAAAATAAGCACAAAAACACAATAAACATTCACTGAGGAGGTTGTAGTCGAGGTTTTTGGAGGTCAAGGAAGTGTGAGTGTAGCAGATCTCTCGTCGGAAAGAAAAAGATGGTGCCAGTAGACATTGACGATGTCATAGCCGCCAGTCGTACTCGTAGAAAATAAGAACTCACAATAGAAAATGGGGGTCGTGCCAGGCGGGATGGAAGGGAGGGGATTGATAGTGGTGATTGAATTATAGAGGAAGGATGAGAGGCGGACGACGAAGGTAATGACCTTCTATTTCGTCGACATTGGAGGATGGTGTCTCCAACAGAATCGAGCAGACGGCGGATGATATGAGATACCACATCATGTCGATTTGACCTGAGAAACATCCTTACTAAACCGGACAAATCGACAGGTCGAACAAAGACCGAAGATGCTACAGGTCGAAAAGTCTTTAGGTGGATGAGGACTTTGTGGATCCAAGGAGCATGAACAGGTCGAGTTAGGGCCCTTGGGTAACCTAGTTGAAACTCGACCGGAAAGCATGACTGGTCATATGGATCGACCAGATGAGCAGAGCATACGAGCTCAGCATTGTTAGCACTCCACCACGTGGTAATTTGAGTTGGTTGAAAGATTAGACCATCTATTAAGGAAGACTAATGTATAAGAAAGAGTGTTATTAAGATAAGGCAAAATTGCATATTAATACATCACATTTCATATTTTTGCAATTTAATCACAACCTTTACAATTTTGCAAATTAATATACCACTTTTACCATTTTTGTAAATCGATACATGACTGACGGTTTCGTTAACGAAAATCTGACATGGCATTGAGCCACGTCAATGCCATGTCAGATTTTCGTTAGATTTTTTTAACGGAACCGTAATTTATGTATCGATTTGCAAAAATAGTAAATGTGGTGTATTAATTTTCAAACTTGTAAATGTTGTGATTAAATTGCAAAAATATGAAAGGTGGTGCATTAATATACAATTTTGCCTTAAGATAATAACCACACGTGGATAGGGTCACGTGGCCTAACAAAATTAGGCGATTCGGACAGTATGCACGGGCAGTTCGGGCTGTCTGGGCAGCACATCTGGGCAGTCTTGGGCAATAAGGTAGCATATCCCTATATAAGGGAATGAGATATGCCCTTAACAATATTACAGTCTCTGCACACAAACTTACTTACAGAGCTTTTCATACACTGTTCATCGTCTTCACCGTTCATATTCTGACATAAACGTCGGAGGCTTTACGTTGTAAAACCCCTCTGGCGTTGAGTTTGTGCAGGTATTAGAGGTAATCAACCGGCAAGGAAGGCAATCTAGGTCGACCGATCTGGTCCGATGTCTTTTACATACCAACGACGCTGTGGCGGATGAAGGTTGTGTAGGAAAGTAGAGGAAATGTATGTTTCTCGGACATGAAATTGCTTCTAATATATGATTGTTGCGTGTGAGTAGGGAGTCTTCTACACTATGGGAAAAAATGTAAAATAATGATATTCACCCAAAAAAAATAAATAGGGGCATTTTCAATAATTACCAACAGGACGTGTGTCAGACTTTTAGAGGATCTCCAATGGAATGTCAATTGGAGAATTCTAGAGGCACTGAAACAAAAAAACTTCTCTAGTGGTATGTTTTTTAATTCTACTTGTGATGAGGTGACATGAGAGAGAATAAAAAAATCTAGAGGTCTTTCTACATGTGAAAGTCCTTCTAGAGGTGGTGACTCATTTTATTCCTCCTATTTACATCTTTTATTTTCAAATAAAATATATAATAATTAGGTATAGAAAAGTCGTATCCGGTAAAATACCAAAAGCACCATAATTTTTTTTCAGGAAATTATATTATAAATTTAATGGTATATATTTTGTTAAAATTATGCACTAGAATACATAATAATGGATACCCTTAAAAAAATACCGATACAAAAATACCTATAAATTTCAGTTGTGCGATGGGTTTTAACTCTTCCAAAAATGAATCTGGATATGAATCTATGATTCAGTACCAGAATAATGTATAGTATTTTGTCACTAATTGAATGAAATTGCTGAAGGTGTGCCATATATTTGTTGAAAATCATGTTCAAAGTTTGTTCGGCCTGCAAGTTTTTTGCCATTTGGCTTGAACAACAAAGCACATAAATCACATTTATCGTGGATACATTTACCAAAAATATTGTGATTTAATGGTTCAAAGTTTGTTCGACCTGCAAGTATTTTTGGTTTTTTTTTTTAAAATAGCANATTTACCACTGACGAATTATTTATGAATATGTCTATTTAATTGATATATAGACGATAATTCACTTCAACCACAGGATAGATGCTCTTAAGGCCTCAAACTAGTTTATATATATACACGATAGAAGGAGAGAGATATGATAAGAAAAGGGAACACTAAGGAAATGATGAACTTCCTTTTTCCATTTCTTCTATATAACTTTAATTTTAATTTCTCTTAGCTTTTAGTTTTATATTACATTAACTTTTAATAAATTAAGTATATGTGTGCAGTTTTATCTGAATAAAACTTTACTATAGTTTATCAAGAAAATATATTATTTACGCCCCATCTTTTTCATTTTTCATGTCCAAGTGAAATTATGACTACTATGGGCCGGCCCCCTCCTCATTAAAAGAAACTCGACTCTCCCTAGAGATATGGTTAGATATTAATTCATTCCTTGAAGGAATAGTTTAGAACCATGCAAAGGGCGGAGGTGTTTTTTGGCTGGCATGGCACTCGTAGTCTTACGTGTTGGGAGTAATTTAATGACCAATAAACTGACGCCATCATTTGCCTCTCGCCCAAATTAAGTTCACGTCAACAAGTTGTAACTTTCTCATGTTTATACACACAGAACAAAATCCAAATCCCAAGTTGTAACCTTCTGTTTATAGACAGAACAAAATCGATCCAAATCAGCTATATACGCAAGGCACTTGTCGAAACGAAAATTTCAATTTTTTTTTTCATATTATTAATAAATACCTAA